AAATCGCTGTATAGGCGTCAAGATATAGGACGTCGGCGCGACGGATCACCTCACGACCACGGACTGTCACGTCATCGGGGCTGCCAAGCCCTAAGCCAACTAAGGACAACATTTTCTAGTGTTTTAGTCTACAATGAATGTAGAAACGCGATCAAGCACTGTTGATGGTCGAATAGATAAAGATCTTGAATCAATCGTCGAACATTCACTTTAACGTCAACTCCTGAACCTGATGGGAAAAAGTCAACAGAAAAACAGATCGATAGGCAATTAGGGTTACCTAAGTATGGTCTTCATGTTGAGCCTCGACCTCCCGACGGATCTTTTGCGTCGCCTTTGCTTACTTAGATGCCAGAGAGATCGGTTTCTTCTAAGATCGGCGAAGCCTGAGATCCTGGAAAGAAGTGGACGGCCTTAGACGGTCAAGGGTCACGCGGCGCGCCCGTTCTGCTGTTCCATTGCACCGGCGTCAACTCTGTTAGCTTTCAAGGGCTACAGAGTGCGTTTGGACGTGTTCGGCTGTTCCAGCGTCAGCTTTGCAAGTAGCTAGCGTAGCGACCCGCCCCTTTTTTCTCCTTACCTTCCTTCTAGTTTTCTCTTCTTTCCTTTTAAGCTCTTCTTTCCGTTCTACAAGATTACTCTTCGTCAAAGAACCGAAAACAGAAGACCGAAAAAGAGGGAAATCAGGACGCGAGTGCTTTTGGAGTCGATGTCGAACAAAAAAGTTTTTCGATCATTTAATTGCCCCCGGCCGTCGCGCCGCACCTAGTTGCTCCCCACACTAACAGGCTGACAAGAAATTCTGTACAAGTTTGTTGTATGGATTTCCACTGGATGTGGAATTTTCGTGTATGTCATGCATGATAAGTTCGTCAACAATGACGACACTGAAGAACAAGAAAAGAATGTTTTTACTACCACTTAACTACGATGGTGGAATTGAATGATTCGAATCACGATACAAGTCAGAATATTTGCTCGACAGAAAGACTTTCTACTTTCCCCTTATGTCTTCTTTTTTCTCTTTTTTCGACTAGAAACCTCACACTCCTCAACGTCGGCGGTCCTGCTCCTGTTTTTCTCTGTCACCCTTCGTCTTATCTGTTGAACGCCATGCGCAGTCACTCGTACTCGTTTGTTTTTGGTATTCCAGTATTGCAAAACGGGTGCGGCATGGCGTCACATCTCCGAAGGAGGAGCAGGACACCTGAGGAAGAGAGAGGCAAGACGGAGATTATGTAGAAGGCAGTTGTAGATCATATTTTCGACGTTAATTGTGGTTCAGTATGTATTGGTATTGATGTTGTATTCTTATACTGATGCATTCTTTTTGACAGATGAACGAGGAATATGCAGTATTATAACCAAACAAAGTATGTCAAATGAGATAAAACTTAGTGATAGTATCTGTTCAAGCAGCTGCGTCTGCGTTGGTAATCTTGGATATACATCATCAGGACCCTGTTGCTTTAGCGTC